TGAGTGGTTTGACGTCGCTGTGCTACTTCGAGTCAACTAGCTAAGAATGCTGGTTTGCGCGCTGTGTGCCAGCCGGATTTCCTGAGGTCTTCGGCATGTAAAACTGAGTCGCAGGGGCCTAGAGGGCATACATCACTCAGTTTTCGACAAGGCGGCCCCTGGATGCAAAAAGATTCGGGGCTACATCCAGCCTGTATCCAGCCTGTTTTCTGAAGCTTATAGTCTTGTGTATTTTTCATGTGATTCCTACATATATACTGTTTTTCAGTCAACACAGTAATTGGATGTCATCCGGTCACGGGAAACAAACAGGCGGTTTGCAACAGCAAATGCCTTGGTGGAATTAGGCCACCCTGTTCTGAATTGAAAAGCTTTTTTTTCGTCATAGAATTTAACCGTGTACTCCTCCATGTAGTAGTCCTAACATAGCTATTCTACTCATGTCAGCGTTGCCATTACCACACTTTCTTTCATCACAGTTCCTTTGTGTTCATACGTAGAACGTCTGACGCATAGTATGGTTTGTTCGGGTTTTTCCTTGGTAGTGCGCATCGGGACGCTTCATCACACATGATTCCTGCTTCCTTATTATTGCATCTTTCCGTGATACAGCGTCACGACGTGTGTTGGTGTGTATTAGACCCCGTTCATACTTCGCGATCGCGCGTATTATGAACACGTCTTACAGGTATGTTGCCTTTGATGAGGTCCGACCTTGCACACTTTTATGCACACGCTGCTGTGGGTGTTCACGTTCTTATCGTTCGTCATTCTGGTAGAGTTTTCGTCATCATTGCTTCCCCCTCCCTTCCCGTATACACATATTCGCTGTGCAGTTTCTTGAGTCAATTCTCCTGTACTAGTATACGCGATGATTGCTTTCGGTCGACTGTCATTTATTATTTTTACATGTCTCGACGATCCCGACATCCAGTCTGGTCGTCTATCCTACTTGTGATTTTCTTTTAAGTACGTCGGTGTTGCTCCCAGTCGGTCTTGTTATGTATGTTCTATGTTTCCTATTTGCAAATTTTTATCGATTATCATGATGACATCTCACCCTATCGTATTGATTGCTACTTTACGAAGTTTGCGTTATGCTGCATTCTCCTTTAATCTAATAAATCTAGAGTTATTTTGGAATGTGTTCGTTTTTCTAAGCTACTTGTCCGACGAAAACGGCCATATCTTTCGAGAAAGTTCCGCAAAGTGCAATAATAAGGCTGCGTTCATACTTTGCATCGGCGTTTCAAGCGTACAGCCTCTGGTATCGATATCTATACTTTTATAGTCCTGAGCGACTGTTAAAGTATAGATATCGATATAGCGTTTTGAGCGTGAGCCAGCCTTTTGAGCGTTTCGCGGGTAGTTTCAAACTTTTCGCGTGCAGTCGCTGACAACGCTGCCGCTCGCTCAATGCTGCAAAGTATGAACGCGGGCTAAGGTTTGGTGATATGTGCTTCAGATGAACCTGTCACGAGGTTTTGCTCGAGGGTTTCTCAATGCTGCCAGAGTTCCTCGATTCTCAGCGAGTGCGTTTGAACATCTTAATAATTGAAAGTTATCGATTTTCGCTATTGAAGACGGTCCCTTTGATCACTTTAGTTTTCTGCCCTTCTGTGCGTGACCACCGTGGACTCGCACATTTTACTTTCCACGATCATATGTGGCCCACCATCTTCTACTGTGGCACCCTTACACCGCTGCGTTTGGTGCAAATCCCTTCCAATTGAACTCCAAACTCACCGTACTTTCCCTCAAAAAAGTGATCTCTCAGAAGCGCCTTACCCTTTGAGATGCTCAGGGCTTTACGGATATTCCTTCGTACTTTTGGGTGCTCGGACAGCAAGTTAGGTTGTCGGAAGTTCAAGGTGCGGCTGACATAAGCTTTAGAGCGCATAGGCTACGATGGAATATCCATCGTGCTTTCCACATTTCACTCTCAGTTACTGGTTAGCGAAGTCACTCTTATATATAAGTAACTTGCGGCACGGCTCAAAGGCAAATGGCACGATAAATCGACAAGGATACGGTAGCTCACAAGAATATTGTTCCCCTTAGCAGGCGCTGCTTGGCGCCTTTTCCTACCAACGGCAACGTTATAGCACCTAACCAAGGTGCAACATGCCGACCCAAACGCCCAGCGCACCGCCCGCCCTTAAACGGCCGGACAATCACATCGATGTTGGTACTCTCATGCTTCATTTATGTAGTACAATTGATGTGAAACCTTGTTACATGAATGTATGAATGCATACCGTATCTATCAAAGTGGTTGCTGGCTCGATGCCAACGGGGAACTCGTCCAAAAATGCACGTCCGATGTCGTGCACAACAGAGGTTTTTCGCACGTTTGGACGTTTAACTTCGCTTTTCCGTGATTTTCTCACTGCTGCTATTTTTGCTCAAGTACAAGTTACCGTGCTCTATGACTTTGAAAATCCTTCGGCCTGCATGTCGAAAAGGGAGCAACCGGTACCAGGGGACACGGCCACCACCGAGGCAAACCACTAGTTCGACATTTTAATCGCTTAAACTGCTTGAATATTCATTCAACGGAACGCAAAATGTCTAGAGGCTCCGCAAATGCTATATTGTCCCCATTTTCGTCAACACGGCCACACATACAGGCCGATGACTTGTGCTCTACACGCAAGTTAGTGATCATAACATAGCGATCCCGCGATTGATTTCGAATTCAAGCGGTGTGGATGAGTTGCTCTGTGCAGAAGATGATACAGAAATGCACGGTGGAGGAGGCACGGCTTATGCCCCTCAGTACTGCCTAATATTAGTCGCACCATCCGACATACACCCGGGCAGCAAGTATCCTCTGACAAGCAGAGCAGAATTATGGGAAAAGT